ATATATTTATATAAATGAAAATTAAACAATAAAAACCTTGTGGGTCACAATAGCCCAATTCCATGTTGCATCTTCTCACTATGAATTAAGAACAGACAAAATGGCAGCTGCCAACAATAATAACTGAGAAAATATTTTATAAGTAGGTCTGTTGTTGTTGTTGTTAGGTGCCATCGAGTCGGTACCGACTCATAGCGAACCTTATGCACAGCAAAACGAAACACACTGCCCAATCCTGGGCCAACCTCACTACTGTTGCCACGCTTGAGTCCATCTATGCTGCCACTTGACCAATCCATCTCGTTGGGGGTCTTCCTCTCTTTCTCTGACCCTCCACCTTACCAAACATGATATCCTTCTCCAGCGACTGAACCCTCCTGACAATATGTCTGAAGTATGAGAGATGAAGTTTGGCCATCTTGGCCTCCAAGGAGCACTCTGGCTATATTTCTTCCAAAATGGATCTATTGGTTCTTTTGGCAGCCCTTTCAATATTCTCCTCCAACACCATTCTCTTGGCTGGCTGATTGTGTCTGTTTGAAGCACCGTATAGAAAGGAGTCCTAAAGTTAAATTAGATTCAGCAGCAAAGAATACCACAAGACGTCTTCCAGGAGAATGCAAGGGGTGGAAATGGTAGTATCTGTGCCAGATAATTCCATTTTTCTATACCACAGATACAGGAATATATAAAATATTGACTATGCCATGGACTCCCAAAAGAACAAACAAATCTGTCTTAGAAAAAGTACAGCCAGAATGCTCCTTAAAAGACAATAGTGAAACTTGTCTCACATATCTTGGACACATTATTAGGAGGGATTAATCCCTGAAGAAAGACATCATGCCTGGTAGAGAGTGAGCCAAAAAGAGGAAGACTCTCAACAAGACAAAGTGACAGTGACTGCAACAAGAGTCACAGACATACCTACTGTTGTGAGGATGGCACAGGACTGGGCAACATTTCTGTTAGACGTGGGTCACTGTGAACTGGAGTCAATGCAACAGCATTTAAGTACAACAGTATACTCAAGGCCTACCTGAAATGCCCATATATGAGGGAATTTTGAAAAGTTCATGGAAAAATGGAGTTAAAAAATAATGGAATTTTCCATAAACTTTCTGAAGTCCCCTCGTAGATGTCTAAATGAGAGCTCTCAAACTTACTAACAACCAAAAGGGAACTTCTAATCTGCAATCTCTTGTAAAACAAACAAAAGATGAAAAAATAAACAAAAACATTACTCTTCCTCATCTCCGTTCTTTCTTTAAGGACACCTTCATTCAATTAGCTGCTCCAATAAAAGTCAGGGCTTCTGAACAGTTCATTCCAGTCTGATCCCCTGCTGAGAATTTGCTTTTGCACCCCAAATACACTAAATAAAAATCCACATTTTAACAAGCTACCCAGGAATCAAATGGAATGAACCCATCTGGAGCCCTGGTAAAACTCCTAGAGTTAACCTTGATTCTCTTCTTTTACTCAAAACTCCTGACCCAAGAGCAAATCCTGTTAGCACTAGTCCCAAAGCATTTTCAAACGTTAGCTACATTTTCCCATTTCCAAGATTAGTACCTCAGGTGAAGCCACAATCGCCTCTCACTTGGCCCACTGCAATAACATTGCAGCTGGTCCGCTCATTCGTACTCTTGCCTCCTTACATTACCCAAATGATGTATAAGTCAAAAAGTGCCATTCCACTATGGCTTCCCACTGCATCTGGAATAAAATTCAAACTCCTAACTCTGACTTATTTTCCCTGACCTATTTGTACATCTTTATCTTAAGTCACTCTCCTTCCCCCTTGATTCTTATGCTGTAGCCATACTGGCTTCATTTCAGTAGTAAAGGTGTTTTTATGAGAGGGCTTTTATACAAGCTGCTCCTGAGACTAAATGTTCTTCCTCTGATAGACTCTTGTGACATTCAAATGTCATCTTAAACGCTCTCTTCAGAAGTCTTCTCTTACCACTGAAACAGCCTATCTGAACAACACTAGTTAGTACTTGATAACTACTTGATATTTGAATGGATTATTTATTAGTTCTTTATCTCTCTCCTCTACTATAGTGTAATATCAAAACATCAGACTTTGTCTTTTTCATCTTCCTGGTCAGAGAGCTGACTGCCCGTTGTTTGTGTACTTTTGTCTATGTGTGTTTGTTACATTCCAGTTAAAAAGTTCTATCTCTTCTCCCGCTTTGCCGTGCCTGAACCAGAGCGCATGTTTGACTTATTTATGTATTTATATATCCATTCATACTTGTAAAATAATTGAATGGGAATAGAATTAAATAAGAATCCCTAAAAAATATATGAATTTAATTTTTATTTAACTACATGCTGTGTCCTGATGTGGCACTGAAGGATAAGCACTGTATTGCGAGGTCAGTTTGAAACACAAGGTAGGCAGTTCAAACCCACCAGCCTCTCCCTGGAACTGACTCAATGGTACTTAACAATAACATATGCTGTGTATCAATTTTTCCCAGGCAGATTTAGGTACTGACTTTACAACAATGCAGAAAAGCAGTTTGCCATCATGGAGCTTGAAATAGACAAAAAGAAAGGCTATTCAGTAGGTTTATCTTTCTCCTGCTGTTGTCAGTGAGTGGATTCCAATGCACTGCAACCCTGTATAGGATTTCTGAGGCTGTAAACCTCTACAGGAGCAGAAAGACTTATCTTTCTACTGAGGAGCAGCTGGTGAGTTTGAACTGCCAATCTTTCGGTTAGCAGTCCAGTGTTTATGTTCAAACCCACCAGCTGCTCCTTGGAAACGCTAAACAGGATCGCTATGAGTGGGAACCAACTCAATGGTACTTAGTAACAACAGTGAGACAGAAAGACTGAAGAGTTGCTTAGGTGACATCATGAAGTCCTTTTAAAGAGTTTCTAAAGATAATAAGAGTCATTGGTGAGAAGCAAAGTATATGTTTGCTGCTTTGAAAACCTTCTCTCAATTCACCATAAATCAACACAAAGTCATTGATGAATTTTAAAGATCATTTTAGGCATGGTGTAAAGAAAAGTGTTAAGGGAGATGAAGAGGCCAACCTGTAGGCAGTAAAAGTCCAATTAGTCAGAATTAATAACAGTGGAAACAAAAATGGATTATTACAACCCTGCTACAAGGAGTTTTTGGAGTCCTGGTTTGGTGTTGTAGGATAAACAATGGACTGCTAACTGCAAGGTCAGGGGTTCTAACCCACCAGCCACTCCTTGGAAACTCTATACAAGGTCACTAATAGTTGACACCACCTTGCCAGCACTTAGCAACTACAACATAAAGGTTTCTGAGGCCCTGGTGTGATGTTGTAGGACAAGCACTGGCCTGCTAATCACAAGACTGGTGGTTCAAACCCACTGCTCTCTTTGGAAATGGAAATCCTACATGGGGTCTCTATGAGAAGGACCCTACCTGCAGCACTACAATAAACAGAATGGGTTTTATATAAGCAAGTAAGAATTAACAATACACTGCAGAATACAATGAACACTGAAAGCACAAGTAAAATGGCACCCATGTAGAAGTTATCCAATCTATCCGGGATTATATTTCACAGAGTAGACGGTATCTAAGCTGAACTTTTCCAAATATGAAGATGTCGAAAGATGGAAAAAAGGTATTACAGGTGTCATAAAAATTGTTTGCTTGTACAAACAAATTAAAAGGATTTTTTTTAAAAATCTGCATGTTTAATATGTTGGTGTTAAGTGCCAATGAGTGGCTCTATCAAGTTTCCAAGGAGTGGCTGGTGGGTTTGAACCTCTTGACTTTTGGGGTTAGCAGTCCAGTGCTTATCCTTTAGCACCTCACCATAATTCCTAAGGAGGCATAAAAATCCCATTATCTTTTCGCTTCATTTTTTTTTTTTCCAAGAACTTTATGAAGCCCACTTATATATGCATTCTATTTCTTAGACAAAATCTTAAAATTCTTCTTTTATGACTAATCTTAATAGACTAAACACCATCTATTAAAACATTTTTGTTCTATTCAGCTATAAGCTATAGTCTGCCCTCTAGTAGATGTTTATTATTATTACAAAGAGTTCTACTGAGAGTAAAATCATATGGGTAAATAAAATACATAGTCCAAGAGAAAAAAATGTGTATTTTTAAATAATCAAAGTTTGTTAAATAAAAGTACACATTATCTTATTATTCTGATAAATTACATCTGTAATAAAAATATCACAGATTAAGATAAACCTGAAGTAACTATACAATGTAATTCAGCAATTATTAAGAAATTAGGCACACACACACACATACGTATATACACCGGCACTATGGTAGTCACTGAAGAGACAAAGAGTTAAAAGACAAATCCTTCCTCAAGAATTTTATAACCTAAATGAGAGGAAAGACATAAATACACTTTGGGGAGTATTTGTACAGGATTTCTGCAATGATAATGTAATTTTGGAGTCCCAGCATGGCTGGCACCGTAGGATAAGCACTCGATCATAACGACGGTTTGAACTGCAAAGTCAGTGATTCAAACTCACCAGCCACTCCTCGGAAATGCCATACAGGGTTGCTATGAGTTGGGACTACTCGACAGCACTTAACAACAACAGCGTTGTTTTACATAGTAAAAATAGTTTAGCAAAACATGAAGAATAATCTTTTGTATTCAATAGTGCAAAATATATGTACCACAGGAATAGGGTTCTAACTATAGGTAATATATTTTATAGTGCCAATGTTTTGCTCTAAAGATACAATGTTGGATTAGAAAAGATTACTAGTGATTTGAATAATGAACTGAAAAATTTAATTGTTAAATACCAAAACACATCAAACTATAGGCAAGAAATACATGGCAACCAAAGAAGTGAAAAAAATAGGGAGATGAAAAAGAAGTAATCTACATAGAAGTCTGCAGACAATCAAAAGAAAACCAACATAGTAATTTTAGCTCTGTAATTTAAGTAGCATATTTATCACCTTTCTCTCACGTTAATTCTTGAAAATAACATCCTAACACTTACCTTACAACTATAAGCATGGCTATCAGAATTGAACAGATAGGATCTGCTATCATCAAACCAAAATTTTGCATCAGGATGGCAGATGCAATCACGCCGATACTCCCAAGTGTGTCTGCTAGAATGTGTAAAAATACGCCTAGAAACAAAGCATAATCAGAATAAAAATAATACCTTGTGACCAATTTAAAATATAAATCTTCCCTAGAACTATATTCTCAACTTTATATTTAAAACTAAACAGCAAATTGAAAAATCTGTAAGAACATAGATTCACTGTATAGTAATCACACAGCAGTATGACTTTACCAATTGAAATCATTTTTTCCATTTTGAAACCAGCTGGGAATAAAATATTTGACCTGTAAATTATACCTGCTCTAAGTGAACTTTCATCTTTTGATATAATGTACATGAAGAAGTACAGAAATAAACTGATTTTAAAAATTGCTTGTGCATACTCATATCTGGTCAAAGAGTTCAAGAGTTAATCATTTGTCACAGAAGGAAAAAAAAATTGCATTCAGCTAAAAGAGTAAGTCAAGAAACCATAAATTGCAAGCTACAAATATGTGTACACACAGAGCCCTCTGCTGGTGATTAAAACAATTACCACTAGAATTTCCTATGGACTCTATTTCTGGTAACATAGTGGTTACGAATTCTGGTAACATAGTGGTTATGAAATGGGTTGTGAACCTCAAGGTCAGCAGTTCGAAACTACCATCTGTTCCATGGGAGAAAGATGAGGCTTTCTGCCCCCGTAAAGATTTACAGCCTTGGAAACCCTGTACAGGATCACTATGAGTTGGAACTGACTCCACGGCACATAACAACGTATTTCTGGTGCTGTGGGATAAAGCACTGGACCACAAGGTCGGTTTGAACCACAAGGTTGGTGGTTCAAACTCACCAGCTGCTCCCTGGAAACCTTATACAGGGTCGCTGTGAGTCGGAACCGACTCAACGGTACTTTACAACAACCACATACTTCTGGTGTGGAACTGTGGGCTAAAGCACTAGACTGCAAGGTCAGTTGGAACCACAAGGTCTAGCTACTCCTTGGAAACCCTATACAGGGTTGCTAAGGGTCAGAACTGACTCATAGCACTTAACAACAATAATAATTCTGGTAAGGACTACTGGTGTGGTGCTGCGGGTTAATGTGCTCGACTGCAAGGCCTGTTTGAACCGCAATGTTGGCAGTTCAAGTCCACCAGCTGCTCCTTGGAAACCCTATACAGAGCCGCTAAGAGTCAGAAGTAACTTACAGCACTTAACAACAATAAAAATTCTGGTAAGGACTACTGGTATGGTGCCGTAGGTTAATGCACTGGACTGCAAGGCCTGTTTGAACTGCAATGTCAGCGGTTCAAGTTCACCAGCCACTCCTCGGAAACCACATACAGGGTCGCTATGAGTCAGAACTGACTTGACAGAACTTAACAACAACATAGTTCTGGTGTGGCTCTATAGGATAAGCACTGCACCACGAACCACAGGTCAGTGGTCAAATCCAACTACTATACAGGGTCACTGTGAGTCAGAACCAACTCGATGGCGCTTAACAACAACATAATTCTATTGGTGTTGCCCTGTAAGATTAACACTAGTCAGGTGGATTTGGCAGTTCAATCCTACCAGCCACTCCTGGAAACTTTATAAAGGGTCCCTATGAGGAGGAATAGGGACACTTAACGACAACAAAATTCTACTGGAGTCCTGGTGTGTCACTGTACAATAAGCATTGGACTGTCAACTACAAAGTCAGTCGTTCAAATCCACTAGCTGCTCCTCGGAAACCCTACCAAGAATGGCTATGAGGTGACATGGCACTTAACAACAACCACAAATAATCCTATTAATCATGTTGCTGTTGTTGTTAAATGCTGTCGAGTCGGTTCCAACTCAGTGACCCTATGTAAGGCTTCTGGTGAGGAGCAACCGGTGAGCCTGAACCGGTGAGCCTGAACCACTGACACCTAGCAGTTCAAACCGACCTCGCAGTCTATCACATTAACCCTCAGTACCACACCAGGACTCCATTAATCCTGGTATATATTCATTTTCCTTAGGTTTTTGTTACCTAAGATTAAAAACTAAACTCACATGCAATGCAAAAGGAAGCAGGGATCCAAAATGTTTTAAAATAAATATGAAATACATTCTGAATGTTAATTATTTTATTAAATGTTAAATTGGTTGTTGCTGCTGCTCTTGTTAAAGTGTCATCGAACAGGTTCGACTCATAACAATCCTGTATAGGGTTTCTGAGGCTATAAATCTTTACCTGAGTAAAAAGTCTAATTTTTCTCTAATGAAGTGACTAATGAGTTCAACTGTCAACCTTGCAGTGTGCAGTGCTTAATCTACGGAGCCACTGTGCTCCCATTAAATTGGTAGGACATTGATATGCTAACTGCCTAAGAAGCTAGATATAGTATTGGTGGTGGTGGTGGTGGTTGTGAGTTACCGAGTCATGTCTAACTCAAGGTACTCTGTACAAGGATTTCAAGGCTGTGAATCTACAATGCTACCAGGGCTCCTTAGATAGAGTATCTACATTTAATAAATAATGGTTTCATAGAAAACCATTAAAATTTCATTAAAAATTAAATTTTATATTTTTGGAATGTTGCAATGAATATTAATTCTTCAACATTTCAGTGTTTAATAAGTAAAATTTACCATATAGCAAGCATTGTCTCCTAAAAAGAATTCAACCACGCGTTTCTAAAAATAGAACATTCTTCAGTAGCATCAACTATGATTGTTGTTGGTGAAATGCCATAGATGTGAATCTGACTCATAGTGACCCTGTATAGGGTTTCCAAGGAGTGGCTGGTGGGTTTGAACCACTAACATTGCAGTTAGCAGTTCAGTAATTATCCTACAACACCACATCAGAACTCTATCAATTATGATATCTATAAAGAAACAGCTAGAATATAAAAAGCATGTCAATTTTTAAAGGTAAACTCAAAATTTACTTAAACTTGAAAACACTTTATGTTCAGAAACTTAGCTTATTAAAAAACCACAAGCACACACACACACCACTTTCTCTAGGGTTGTTGTTGTTGTTGTTGTTAAGGGCCATCGAGTCGGGTCCGACCCATAGCGACCCTGTACAGGGTTTCCGAGGGTGTAAATCTTTACGGGAGTAGAAAGCCTCATCTTTTCCGTAGCGTAGTGGTTCTCTAGGGTGAGCATTATGAAATAGCACAGAATTAAGTTTAATAAGTGTTGCAAACAAGGAAGGGAAGAAAAATATGCTCTAGGTGCAGCTCAAACTAATGGCTTTGGCATCCCTGGCAGATACATATACTAAGTACTGACTTGGTGCAAAAGCTTAAGCATTTAACTAGTAACCCAAACCTTAGTGGTCCACACCCACCCAGAGTCCCCTCAGAAGTCAAGCCTGGCAATCTGTTTCCAGAAGTTCACAGCCTTGAAAACTCTACTCTGTTATGTTGGGTCACTAGGAGTCATCAATAACAACAACAAAAGCAAATGTTGGAACAAGTTTACGTTTTAAAAATGAATCAAACAAAAGATATTTATCATCTAAGTAGACTGAGTATTCCTCAACTACAAACTCCTGAGTGATATGTGCTTTTAAAACTTTATATTCTTCAATCATTATTTTTGGCAGATTAGAAATTAACAATGACAACAACAAAACAAACCCTACACATTAAAAGGAAAAAGAAAAAAATTACTTTGTTCTTGATTTTCCTTATATAGGGATGTCCCTGGCTGCATCTCATCTGCTGACCTAAAAACTAATTTCAGTAGCAAGTGTCACTAAGCCCTTATTTTCTAGTAAGTCTTTAAGATGAAAAATGTAAACTAAACAAAGAAGTATAAACTATATTGTTTAGTCAACTTCGACTCATAGAGACCCTATCTAGAGTGGCTTCAAGACTAAATCTTTCTCTCAAGGAGTGGCTGGTGGGTTTGAACCACTGAATTTGCAGTTAGCAGTTCAGTGATTATTCCATAGCACCACCAGGGGTTCAGTCACCACAAATTGATGGATACTCAGAAAATACAAATGAATTTTCACAACAGATTTAAAAGCAGCAGTTGTGGTAGTGCAGTGGATTAAGCACTGGGCTTCTTAATCCACCGCTGAAAGGTCAGCAGTTGGAACTTACCAGCTGTTCCATGGGAGAAGGATGAGGCAGATTGCTTCTGTAAAGGATTTGTAGCCTGGGAAATTTTATGGAGCAGTTCTACTCTATCCTGTAGGGTTGCTATGTGTCAGAATTGGCTCAATGGCTGTGGGTTTGATTTATATAAGTGATGTTGTTGTTGCCATCAAGTAAATGCCATCTCTTGGAGACAGCAGGTATGCAGAACAGAACTGCTCCATGAGGTTTCCAAGGCTGCGGCTTTTCGGAAGCAGATCATCAGGTCTTGGGTGGCTGAAACCAACAACCTTTTAGTTAATAGTCTGAGCACTTAACCATTTGTACCAGTCAGGTACTCTTAAATCAATGTTGTTGTTAAGTGCCACTGAGTCAGGTGACTCACAGCAACCCCTGTATAGGGTTTCCACGGAGCACCTGGGAGTTTGAACCATTGGCCTTGATGTTCAAACCGACCTTGCATTCCAGTGCTTATCCTACAGTGCCACACAAGGACCTATATAAAAGATCATTAGGTAGGCTACTTGTGGTAATTTCCAAAAGTTGAAATAAACCTTCTATCAAGACTTATTTATACCACTTGATATAAATACATCAGATATGCATTACTACAAGCTATTTCAATAAATCTTGTTCTAAAACAATTCTATGTATTTTGCAAGTTAAAAACTGGTGACTGGAATATACATTTAATTCTACTGAAATTGAACTCCACATTATAGAGGAGCATATTCACAGGGGAAAATAAAACACAATTGTCTTTATCAAAAATGTTGTCATTAAATGCCGTCAAGGTGGTTCCTACTCATAGTGACCCTGTGTAGTGTTTATGAGGCTGTAAACCTTTGTAGGAGCAGAAAGCCTCGTCTTTCTCCCAAGAAGAGGCTGGATGGCTCGAACCACCAACCTTGTAGTTTGCATTCCAGTATTTATCAAAATAGTGGAGAAAAATAGGTGCAGTCAAGATTGGATCATAGTCTGTTGAGAAAGTCAGAAGGATGTCAAAAGTTAATAAAGGCAGGAAGACAGGGAGACAGCAGTTAGGAAATCCTGACAATAAAATATAAATGAAAACTCACAGCCAAAGACTAGTTCTCATCTCAAAAAGGAAACTATTATAGTTGATGGACAAGACTGGTTTTCTGTGGCTTCTAAATTTTGACAACATACCATTTCATGTACTAGATAAACTCCTGTTTAGATATCATCAATTGATGGTTACAGGTATGACTAATGTCTTACACTGAATTCTAATTTTTTAAAATTTTTAAAATTTAAAATCTCTAAAAATTTCCATAAGATAAATACATTTCAAATATTATTCTTGGAAAACTACTTTATAGTGCTTTACAGGCAAGCATAGTTGTATACTATGAGTATTTGAGAAAACTGTAAGTGGCAACCAAAAGAATTATCTGCTGATAAACTTGATATATATAAATAATCTTTAGGACGGTAAACATATTATTTAATAATTAATTTTTGTGCTATTAGAAATATACACAGCAGAACATACATCAGTTCAATAATTTCTACATATACAATTCAGTGACACTGATTACACTCAAGATTTACAACCACTGTCACCCTCCTTTTCCAAATTGTTCCTCCACCATTAACATAAATTCACTGTCCCCTAAACTTCCTACCTAATCATTTGAGTTGCTATAGTTCTTTTAAAAAATACAATACTTAAGAGAGACAGTCTTTACTAATTAAGTTAAACTACTGCTTGTTTTTAAGAAGACTTTAAGGGATATTTTTGGTTTAAGGTTTAAAGATTATCTCAAGATAATATGTAGTTCTAAGGGTTCATCCAAATTCAGTGGGTCAAGAAAGTCTGGATTCCAAGAAAATATTAAATACATTTTCCCCCTTTTGATCAGGATTCTTCTATACTATCTTTGATCAAAATGTTCAGTAATGATAGCTGGGTACCATTCAGTTCTTCTGGTCTCATAGCAAAGGGGCAAGTTGTTCATGGAAGCAATAAGCTACACAAGAAGGCTAACATTTTAAACGTAAATACCATGCTCTATGTGTTTATCTTAAAGGAAAAAAACTTCAGGCAACTCAAAACTATGAAACCAGTTTCATAAAGCTAATAAACAAAAATACAAATTTCTTGTCATACCTTGTAAAATCTGTCTGCTGGGGCCTGATGTTTCTTTTAAGGAGGGACCATCTGTAGAGAGTTAAGTTAAATTATTTAAAAATATGTCTTCAATTCCTGATTCAGATCTTTGCAACTGATAGTATTTCTCATTCAAACATATCATGAAGAGTATAGGACTATATAGCCACAAAAGACCTACAAAATTAATTATTTTTAATTTAACATAGTAATTTAGTGAAGACAAATACAGGCAATTTCAAAATACATCAAGGGTACAGAATATTTAGGAACTTATTACATTAAACAATCTGGTCAAAGGTACAGTAATTAAAAACACTGTGAAAGTCCTCTCTAAAATTAATAAAATACCTTAAAACATAGCTTGTTATATTAATTTTAAGGAGCCCTGGTAGCACAATGGTTAAGCACTCAGCTGCTAACTGAAAAATTGGCAGTTCAAACCCACGCAGCAGCTCCATAGGAGAAAGACCTGGTGATCTGTTTCCATAAAGATTACAGCCAAGAACCGGAGTTCTCATCTATCACACAGGATTGCCATGAATCAAAATGGACTTGATGGCACCCACCACCAACATGCTAATTTTACAATGGGAAAAGTTCTCAAACTTTAAATCCCTTGCTTAAAGTTGCAAAGCTCAAGAAATGAAGCCAGGACAGCAGCCTGGATAACTGACTCTGGCAAACAGTAGTTCCCACCAGCTTCTAGATGGGTGTGGTAAGCTTTCCACACACAAGAAAGGAAAATACTTTTGTTCACTTTGGCTTGCTGATGAAAAGGTGAAAAAAATTTGCATTTTTACACTTAAATACCCTGAAGATTACTACTCTACTTTAACATTAAAGCCAAAAATATAGGTGGTGGTAGTGGTGTGCCCTGGGTCGATTCTTACTCATAATGACCCAACATTGTGTTTCCGAGGCTATAAATCTTTATGGGAGCAGAAAGCCTCATCTTTCTCCTGTGAAACGGCTGGTAGTTTCTAACTGCTGACTCTGAAGTTAGCTACCTGAATCATAGCCACTACACTACCAGAGCTCCTTAAAAATATAGGTAGCAAGGTAGAAGATTAGCAACATTGATTTAAATGAGATCAGCAGGAGGACTAACAAGCTAGCTTAATGATCATGAGGAACAGAGATCTTGCCTGGAGATGCAGTTCTTGGCCCACAGCTCCAAAGGGCCAATAAACCCTCGTCACTAGAGCTTCATAGAGCACTGTAACAATGCCAGGGAAGCATGAATATAAGCATAGAGCTGCACAGTGATTTTTGTCTGGGTATGTGGCATTGCTATATGAGAGGAAGAGACAGTTGCCCTGAAAATCCTGCTTATAAGTAAAAAACATAACTGCTCTAAAAATCCAGATTTTGATCAAGGCACCAGGTTAAACAGATTTCTATCTATAGGTAGCAAGTAAGGATATGGACATTTTTAATACAATTATTTTGAAGGTATATTCTGTTATACTATTAAAATATATAACACAACATAAATCACATCTATATAAAATTTGAAAATCCTCTTGGACATAGAATTTGACATCCATGGCAAAGACATACTAGCTGTGACCAAACCCCTATCTTCCCCCTCTTAGGTATATAGCCAAAATACATGACTCCCTTCATTTTGTTGTTGTTCTTAAGTGCCATCAAGTCGATTCCAACTTATAGTGATCCTGTAAAGGGTTTCCGAGGAGCAGTTGGTGGATTTGAACCGCCAATCCTATGGTTAGTAGTTCAGTGCTTATCCTACAGTGCCACACCAGGCCAATGTGACTAAGCTCTGGACAAAGAAATGTGAGAAGCAATGATTTCTAAGGCCATAAGAAGGCCCCACGTGATCTATGTACTCGTTCTTCCAGCGGGAAGCAGAGAAGCTAGTGGAGAATTTACAAAGGCCTGCAGATTAAGAGAAGTCCTGGTGTAACTCTGAGGGCCAAGCACAAGATGTGCTGTTCAAACCTATCAACTACATACAGAAGAAGGTCTGATCCCAGATTGTCATAAGAACAGGGCCCCCACTCTATCCCATCAATCTAAGAGCAAGAAATAGAATTAGAATGCTTCAGTCTCTGAGATTTATGCTGCCCACTGTCCCTGCCCTCCTTTTAAAAATACAGCTAGCTTTATTCATAATGTGGCATTCAATAAATATGAAGTTCACAATGTTTCCCAGAAAGACTAAAGTGTCTCTTAAGATCAAAACAGAATCATGGCTATATATATTACCTTTATGTCTCTGATTAGCTTATATAAAACTTAAGGCAGAATAATAGGTAAGACCATGTTTGAATCCTACTTTTTCTCTTTTCTAGTTAATTATATCTTCTTTTTTTGCTTCAGTTACTATTTATAAAATGCATTAGAGTAGGAAGAAAGGCCTGGTGTTTCATTTATGAAAAAAAATAGACAATGAAAGCCTTATGCAAACAGTCCGATCCCATTCTATATGGGTTTGTCATGAGCAGGGGGCCAAATCGAAAGGCAGCTAACAATCTAAAGACAAATCAAGTTGGATTACCCAAACAGCTTCTACCTACTAATCTATACTCTGGAATTTCATGACTAAACAATTTTAAATAAATATTATTTGGGTTGAAAAATACTGTATAACTTAGTACTCAATGCGATAAAGTTAAGCACAAAGATTTCTAAGTGAACCGTCAAAAAGCAAAATAATAATGCTAAAGTTTAAAAACCCTATTGTAGTTTCACAACTGTATATAATATAAACCATGGGAGAAAGATGAAGCTTTCTGCTTCCATAAAGGTTTTCAATGTTGAAAACCCTATACAGGGTTGCTATGAACGGGATCTTACATGATGGCACACAACCATCACCATCAAATAATATAAAGGGCCTGCGGTAGCAATGGTAAGGAGCTCTGGTAGCGTAGTGGTTACGCATTGGGCTGCTAACCTCAAGGTTAGTAGTTCGAAACTACCAACTGTTCCGTGGGAGAAAGATAAGGCTTTCTGCTCCTGTAAAGATTTACAACCTCGGAAACCCTACGCAGGGTTGCTATGGGTCAGAACTAACTCCACGGCACACCACCAGCCAGCCAGGTGGCGGTAGTGAGTATATGCCTTAGAGTCGGTTCAAACTCAGTGACCCTGTATAGCTGTAAATCTTTACAGGAGCAGAAAAGCCTCATCTTTATAAAAGCTTCTTATAAAAGATCTGGTTATATTTTTAAAAGTCATGATTTTCAGTTGCCAAATGATCCTCATTGACTAATAACTCATTCAAAAGGGTGGCATTTTATTATGGATACATTCACTGTCTTATACTGATTGAACTCCATAATATAGTACAGATAAACTAGGCTTGGGAACAATTTAGACATTTGAAAGGAAATTGACTACACTATCCTTTAAAGCCTGTTTCAAGTAGGAAAGGAGTCTCTATTATAATTTGTGTTTGTTGAAAGGGCTGCCAATTTGGACACTCTGTAGACTGTACTCACCATGAGAATGGAAGTGTCCATGAGCATGATCATGGCTATGTGCAGCACCGTGCTTCAATTCATGACTGTGCCCATGATCTCCGTGGCCATGTGCATGATCTAGAGCACCATTAAAGAGGGAGTGACTGTGTCCATGGCCTACAAAACAGTATCAGAACAGAAGGTGTGTAAAAACCTAGGTGCAGAAACGGTTAAAGCAATCCTGACATCAGTACAAAAAAAAAAATCAGCTCTCAAACCATTTTCAATTTAATAAATATTCACTTATAAAAAGAGTTCTTCATTCATTAAATAATATTGACAGAACTCCTAATATGGAATCCAGGAACAAAATGAAAGCATGGAAGGAAGTAAATGGCCTTACTAAAGAAGATAGTTAAGATGAGAAATTGAGAAATATTGAAAGATATTAGTTACACACACTAACATAGATAAAACAAGATGCATGCATATGATTGCACTGAAGCAGAGGCAGAGAGATGCTATACCTACTAAAAGTCAAGATTAGTAAACTTATATTAAAGCAGATAGAATCCTTACATAGACAAAACCAAAAACAAAATGAATACACTTCTCCATAAACCCAAACCAAATCCACTGCTGTCTAGTTAATTCTGATTCATAGCAACTCTATAGGAGTCAGCAGAACTGATTAATAGGGTATCCAATGCTATCATCTTTATGGAAGCAGATGTCATAAAGCTGATCTTACAGAACAGCTGTGGGTTTGAACCACTGACCTTCTGGCTAGCAGCTGAATGTTTAGTCAGGAGGCCACCTGGGGTCCTCCAAAATTAAACCATCAGGAAAAAAAAAAAACCCAAGGTCCATCTTATAGAAGCTTTTCTGAAGCAAAGAAAAAGTCTGGAAGCTACCCAGAGCAAAAATATCACTTAGAAACACTTCATCACTTCAATCTTAAATACCAACAAATCAAACTTTTGTTGTTGTTAAGCTGTTTAGTGCCATCTAGTTGGTTCTGACCCATAGCGACCCTTATAGGGTTTTGCACTGTTGTTAAGTGCCATTGAGTCAGTTCTGACCCATAACGACCCTGTATAGGGTTTCCCAGGTGCAGCTGGTGAGCTTGAACCACTGACCTGTGGTTCAAACGACTTTGCAGTCTAGTACATTAGCTCACAACACCTTATCAGGAGTACACATATTAAATAATAGCAAATCATAATATGGGGAGAGCAACTTCCAGAACAGAGCTTCATAAACTAACTCTCTCACTAAAGCAACTAAAAAGCAACCATTTTAATTAGCCATAGCCACAGAATCATCTGCCCAAGAGAAATTACTGAGCCTCTGTAAGACAACGGGGCCTCTGACATTTTAACTTGGAGTGATTCTCATTTTTCCTATCTCCAAGCTCAGTTTCAAGGTTGTCAAAAGTCAATGCACAGCATCTCAGGAAAAGATCTGATCTCTTTTGGAGCGCCTCTAAAAATCCCATCTCCTGTGATTTTAGTTGGAAAACAAAAGCTGAACTAGAATTGAAAAGGAAATCCTATTATAAATGACCATATATGAAATGATGATATACAAATCTGAAAATGATCATATAGTTCTGAAAATCTTTTAACATATTTCTGAGGATCCAAAAGGCTGAATTTGTGCAGGAAATGTTTTAGAAGAAATCATAGGATATATTTTAGAAGAAATCACCAGCTACCCATCTTTTATTGGTCTTGATGTCCTTATTGTATAAGCAATATGTCGAAGCTAAGGCCAACTTGTAAAGTATCTTTAGTTTGAAGGAATGCTTTATTACACAGACATGTCCCCTGGCAAAGGATAGAAGGCATTCAGGAAAGTCATTTAAGGTGATATTTTGACTAATGTTTGACTGATCGCTAAATTATATTGACCCTGAAAAGCCAGGCTAAAAAATAAAAGAGTTAAATTTTTTTTAATTACAAAAGAAAAGGGAAAAAAAAAAGGCTAGCAGAGAACTCAATGGTCATATACTGCATGAAATATGGACTTTTCTGAATTAGTCTAGAAAAGTTACATAACAAGAAAAATAATATCATGTGGCATACAGTTCACAAATGGCAGGGAGGAAACACTTCACAGGATGTGTTGGCCAAGGAACAGAGGAACAGAAGCTAAAAAGAGGCAAGGATCTTCCAGAGCCAACACGAGAGAAAGTGCTTCTCTAGAGTCAGTGCCCTGAATTTCAACTCCTAACCTACTAAACTGAGAGAAAATAAATGAAAATCAATTTTTGTTTTTAAAGACACTCACATGTGGTATGTATATTGCAGCAGCACCAAAAAAATGAAAACACCAAATAGAAAATATGAATAAGGGATAAAACTGAAAAAAGAAAAAAACTACCATAAACTCTCAAGTTGAAAAGTATAATAACTGAAATTAAAATATATAACATATATATATCAATAACAACAAACTTTGATATGTGTCAATAAAGATTATTCAATGTGAGAAAAAGAAAAGAAAAATGAAAGGTTAAGAAAAAGTATCAGTGCCTCAGAGACCTGTAGAAACTTCAAGTACACAAGATAGCATAACAGGATTCACAAAAGGAGAAGAGAAAGATATAGCAAAACTATTTGAAAAAACTGTAGCTGAAAACTCCTGAAATTTGATATAAAAGATTATTATCTATGTATTTATGGAGTTCAATAAACTCCAAGTAGAATAAGCTCAAATAGGGTCATACCTAGACAGAAGATAATGAAAATGATGAAAATAAAGCACAGAGAAAAATAACTTACTAAACAAGGGGGCTTCAAAAAGTTTGTGGGAAAATTTCATTATCTTTTAATTAAAATTTCCATGAACTTTAGAAGTCCCTTCATATACAAAGGAAAATCAGTTAACATTAATTTCCAAATAGAAATCATGGAGACCAAGACAGTGGAATGACAATTTTGAAGTGTAAAAGAAAAAGACTTGTTGTTGCTATTAAGTCTCGTATAGTCAGTTCCAACTTATAGCGACCCTATATAGTATTTCCGGGACTTTAAAAACATTTTGTAGAAGCAGAAAGTCTCATCTTTCTCCCACGGAGTGGCTGGTGGGCTCAAATCACAGACCTTGTGGTTCACAACCCAGTTTTTATCATATGGAGCCACCACATTCTCCCCAAAAAAGACTCTCGACCAAGATTTCTATATACAGCTAAAATGAAGAAAACATTTTCAGATAAACAAAAGTTGGCAGCAAAGAATACTAAAGAGAGTCCTGCAGACTGAAGTGAAAAACCAAACAAACAAAAAACCCCACTAGATGATAACTCAAATCCAAACATATACAAATAAAGAGCACTGGTAAAAGTAACTACATTATTCTGAAAGAGTACAACATATGTGTATTTGTAACTCTTTTCTTATCTGTATTAAAAGACTATTTCATTAAGCAAGAATTATAAAACAGTGATGATAGGCTTATAATATGTAAAAATGTAATTCATTTTACTTTGAGTACCAAGGAGGGAGAGGCAATGAAGATACAAACGGCCTTCAAAAAGCTCATGGAAATTTTTCATTATTTTTCAACGCCATTATTCCATAAACTTTTTGAAACACCCCTGTACAACAGTAACATTTTACATGCTTATAAACTCTGTATACTATTAATCTGAATTATATTGTTTTAAGTTTAGATGGTACTCCTAATCCCCAGGACAACCATTAAGAAAATAGCTTAAAAATAAATCAAAGAAGCAAGTGAATTAAAAAGGCACACCAGAAAATGATCCAACATAAATGGCAAAAACTGAGTAATAAATAAAAAAGGAAGAAGATACAGAAAACAAACATTAAATTGGCAGACATAAATCCTACATTAGTAGTAATCATATTAAATATAAATGGCATAAATATCCTCATCAAACAGCAGACACGATCAGGATGGGTAACACAAAACAAAACACAACAACCATGATCCAACTATATTCTGACAACAAAGAAACATGCAAAATTCAAAAACAGACTGAAGATGAAATGACAGAATAAAAGATACCATGCAAGCAATAAACATTACATAACTGAAATGACTAAAGTAACTTCAGACAAAACACACTTTTAGACAATTTTTACAAGAGACAAAAAAAAAACAATATCTTACCATAACAAGCTCAATCACAACAGAGTAACAATTATGTAATAAACAACAAAGAGCCAAAGGATGTGAAGCAGAAATGGACAGAAATAAATGGAAATACCAGTAATTTAATAACAGTAATTGGAGACTTCAATATCCAACTTTCAATAATGGATAGAATCACTAGGCAAGGATCAGCAAAACAACAGAGGAGAGGAACAATATTATAAACCAACTAGACCTAATATACATCTGTTAGAACAAACCTGCAAAATTAAAAACAGGGAACCAGATATATTGATTTATAATCAAGTCAACTACAAAGCAAAATGATAAGGAAATAGTGTAGATGTAGCATTTCCAAATACCTAGGAAGCCAAGTGGATTTCAAGATAAAACAAACTGTTTTAAATGGGGAAATAATAAAAACAGGATAACTTCAAAGGACATTAATATAGTTCACATCAAAATGTTTAAAAAGAGGAAAATTAGAAAGATTCAGTAAATATTAACACAATAGAAATGAAAATGAAAACTCATAAAATTAACTAAGTGCAGAAAATTATGTAGAAGAAACCAAAAGTACCACAAACACACACAAACACCCATCAAAATGACAGCAACCAATTCACATATAACTATTATCTATAATTACATTGACTGTAAACAGATTCGATGTACCAGTCAAAGCATATTGACAAAGAATGGATACAATCATTCAATATGCTGTCCAAAAAAAAACACATCAAAAAGATGGAAACAGCCTAAATGCCAATCAACAGAAGAATGGTTAAACTTTTGTACATATACACAATGGAATACTACACAATGTTGTAAAACTACTATGAATCTGAGAAACATTTCACAACATGGGTGAACCTAGAGGACACTGTGCTGAGTAAATTAGTCAATTACAAAAGGACAAATACTGTATGACACCAATGTTATAAGAAATTTAGAAAAAAAAAAAGGTGTTCTTGAGAAAATAAACAATCTAGGATGGAGTCCTGGTGTGGCACTATGAGTTAGTGCACTGGACTACAAAAGTCAGTTTGAATTGCAAGGTCAGAGGTTCAAGCTCACCAGCTGCTCCTCTGAAACCCTATACAGGGTCACTATGCGTCAGAACTGACTCAGTGGCATTTAACAATAACAGCAATGATAGTTATGGGTGGGGAAGCGGAGGAAATTATTCCTGGGCTCTAGAATAGACACATGTTAACATTGGTGACAAGGCAGGCAATATACAACAAGAGGGAGGTTAGCAGAGGAAAGATGAAGTTAGTAGGAGACATAGGGAGGAATGCAATAGTTAAGGTGAATAGAGGTAAATAATGTTAACTGTTAGTATATGGAGGAGATTGCAATCATAGTCATGAAGCAAGGCATATGATTTATTGAATATAAAACTGATGATCTGCTCTGTAGACCTTCACTCAACTCACAACGAAAACTTTAAAAATAGAAGACACAAAAAAACCAAACTAAACCCAAGGCAAGCAAAGGATTTAAAATAAAAGATATTACAGGAAAAGTAAAGTATCCTGGTGTGGCACTGTCGGTTAATACACTGGACTGCAAAGTTGTTTGAATCTCAAGGTCGGTAGTTCAAGCTCACCAGTAACTCCCTGGAAACCCTATAAAGTGTCACTAGGGTCAGAATCGACTTGACGGCACTTAACAACAATATAGGAAAAATAAAGTGAAATAGAGAATAATAAAATAGCAGTCAATGAAAGCAAAACTTGGTTCTTTGAAAAGATTAGCAAAATTAACATAAATTTAACTAGACTGACAGTGAAAAAAATGAAACAACATAAATTATGAAAGTCAGAAATAAGAGAACAGACAACTAATTTCAAGGACATAAAAATAATTATAAAAAATAATGAAAATAAATGTATGACAACAAATTGGATAAATTCCTAGAAACACATAAAGTGCCAAAACTTATGGAAGAAGAAACAGAAAATCTTCCAACAAAGAAAAGCCAGCCCTACTTAGAAGGCTTCACTGGTACATTTTACAATTAAAAAAAAAAAAAAAAAGATGAAGGAACACTTCACTCATTGTAGAAGACCAATATTATTATGATACCAAAACTAGACAAGAGACATTCACAATGAAGCTATAAATATCTAAGAATATAGGATGTAAAATTTCAACAAAATACTAGCAAAGTGAATGCAGTAATATATATAAAAAAATTATATACTATGACCAAGTGAGATTATTGTAAGAATGCAAGGTTGGTTTACCTTAAGTTCAATCAATGTAATAATAAACATATTAATTAAGAAAGAATAAAAAAACACATTATCACCTGAATAGATGAAAAAATTAAAAAGCATTTGACAAAACCCAACATCCTTTTCATGATAAAAATAATCAAGAAATTTTGAACAGAGGGCAACTTCCTCAACTTGCCAAATGGTATTCATGAAAACCCTCAATCAATATCATACTTAAAGAACAAAGACTGAATGCTTTGTCTCTAAAAAAATGTTTAAAAAAAGACAAGGATACCCACTCTAGCTACTTTTATTGAACATCATACTAAATAACCTAGCTAGAGCAATTAAGCAATAAAACAAACAAACAAACAAATAAAAGGCATCCACTAGAAAGGGTTAAACTATATTTGTCCATGACACAATCTTATATGAAGAAAATCCCAAGGAAGCCACAAGAAACTTATTAGAATAAATGAGGCCAGAAATGAGGCAGGATACAAGATTAATATACAAAGATAAACTAAATTTCTATACCAAAGATGAAAATAAAGAAACAATTCCATTAACAATAACAGCAAAAAGAACAAAATGCCAAGGGATGAAGTCAACAAAAGAAAATCAGAGCTTGCATACTAAACACGATAAAACACTGCAGAAAGAAATTAAAGACTATACAAAAGATGTAAAGACATTATGAGTTCATTAATAGTAAGACTTGAAACTGTTATGATGGTCATTGGGGCTATTAAGTGCCATCGAGTCAGTTCCAACTCATAATGACCCTGTACACGATTTCCAAGGAGTGGGTGGTGAATTTGAACCACTGACCTTGTGGTCCAGTGCATTATCCCACAGCACCACACCAGGAATCCATATAAGAGTATGTGTATGTTGTTGTTATTAAGTGCCACAGAGTCAGTTCCAACTCATAGTGACCCTGTTTAGAGTTTCCTAGGTCTTTAAATCTTTGCAGGAGCAAAAGCCTCATTTTTGTTTTGTGAAGCAGCCGGCAGGCTTGAACCATGGACCTTGTGATTCCCAGCCTAGTGCTTATCATAATGGATCTACAAATGTAATGTAATTCCTATCAAAATTCCAACTGATTGCTACAGAGAAAATGGCAAACTAATCTTATAATCCATATAAAGATGCAAGGGACTCCAAATATCCAAATCCATCTTGAAAAAAGATCAAATAACTTACACTTCTTGTTACAGATACAACTGTGGCATCTCCCCGCATCCCCCACTCCCCCAGCACCCAATATATGTGGTTAACTTAGCTAGGCAATGAGTTTCAGTATTCGTAATTATCTACCATTTTGTGATATGGTGTTTTGTAAATCTTATCCTTTATGATGTTCATGAGACAGAGTTAAGAGGTAGCTATGTTCAGGACACAGGATACAATCTACAGATTAGGCTGTATTTGAGCCAATCACTTTTGGCTCAAATACAAATGAGCAGAGAGATCAGAGGGACCTCATTTATTTCCCAAGAAAGAAAAGTCAGGAGTGGAGCATGTCCTTTGGACCCAAGATCCTAATGCTGAGAAGCTCCTCAGCCCATAGGAAGGCCAAGACAAATGGAGATCTCCAAAGAATGCCAGGTGCACAGATGTTGACAGGAGACAAGGACCTTCCTCCAGAACAGAGAGCGGTAGAAAGCCTGCCCTGAAAACTAGCAACCTGAATTTGGACTTCTACCTCATAAACTGAGAGAATAAATTTCTATTTGATAAAGTCATCCACTTGTGGTATTTGTGTTATACGCAGAACTAGATAATTAAGACATTTCCCAATTTTAAAGACTATTTTAAAGCTGCATTAATACAGCATGGTATTTACACAAAGACAGACATACCTATGAACGTGAAAGAAACTGAGAGTCTAGGAATAAATTCTCATATTTATGGTCAACTAAATTTTGACAAGGCCACAAGACAATTCAATTGAGGGAAAATGGTATTTTCAACAAATGATGCCGTGACATCTAAATACCTACATGTAAGTGAATGATTTTGGACCCTTACCTCAAACCATATGCACAAATGAACTCAAGATGGCTCAAGAAATGTAAGAGCTAAAACTATTAAACTTATATAGCACAAATGCTGGAATGTGTTCAGAGGATACACTTCAAATGAATAGAGAAAAAATAAGTCTATCCACAGAAAACTAGCTAAATTAAGCATGGCAATCAATTCTATGGACTTTTATGTAGTTATTAAAAAGACAAGGTAGACTGATACACACCAAATAGAAGGATCTCAATGATAAACTGTATAGTTAAATTTCATGCACGCATACACACAGATACACACACACACAAAATTTCAATAAATTTGTTTTGTGGTTTTCTGATGGTTGTTTGTCTTATATAAATTGGAGTCCTGGTGTGGCGCTGTGGGTTAATGCGCTGGACTGTAAAGTCAGTTTGAACTGCAAGTTTAGCGGTTCCAGCTCACAAGTTGCTCCTTGGAACCCTATATAGGGTTACTATGGGTCAGAACTGACTCAACAGCACTAGACAACAACAAAATAGACTAGCTATAGAAGTACAGAAAAATTCACACCAAACCAGTAGCATGACCAACTTTTCAAATTCTAAAAAAAAGGTAACATGATAGCATGAGGAGGAAATGAGATGGAATGGCATGAAGACATGGGAGAGATAATTTAGACAGGCATTTATAACAGTGTATTAATATAGTACTTTTGTTATTAAAAACCAAGGTAAAGTATAACTAAAAATTATTTATCAGTTTTCAAAAGTGAATCATTTTAACAGAAACCTTATGGAAAAAGAAGAAACAAAGGGTTCTGACCATCATACCAGAGCCATGAGAATGTCCATGACCGCCATGCTTGAAAACAAATATTCCTACTAAGTTTACCACAAACCCAAGGATTGAAACAAGTAGCAGTCTCTCATGGTGTACATCTGGAGGGGCTAATGCTCTCTAGAAAAAACACAATACAAACAAATAGCGTGGATGTTAAGTTCCAATTCATCAACTGATACAAACAAAAAGCAATTTTTAAAAACTAGTGACATTCAGAATTAAATGTACTCCAAATATGTCTGCCAAAATAGTCTATAAAATGATACCAGTACGCACATATTCCCCAAAACTGTTAAGGATTACTATTTTTTTAATAATAAAAATATTTGAAACCTGGCCACTTGGTTCAAGACCTGTCCTTCTTTGAAATACTTAAAAATATTGCCTATTATTTTAAGTTCATTAATATTTAAATTTTTTTCTAGTGTTTTTCTTTCTTTTTCATTACCAAGCATTAAGTGTTCATTCGTAAAACGCTCAGGTTCTATTGTACATTTGCTTTTCAAAGGGTCAACACTTGCATCATGACTGGAAAGCACTACTGTTTACTTGTTTTTAATCTCAAGTAGCTGGACACATATTTTTTTTTTTTTTCAATTATTTGATAAGCCCATCCTATAGCTCTGGTAGCATAATGATTACGAATCGGGCTGCGAACCGCAAGGTCAGCAGTTGGAAACTACCAGCTGTTCCATGGGAGAAAGATGAGGCTTTCTGCTCCCGTAAAGAGTTACAGCCTTGGAAACCCTGTACAGGGTCGCTATGGGTTGGAATCGACTTCATAGCACATAACAACAACAACAACAATACACACATACTATTTTATTTAATCCAAAGTTGCTCCCAATAAATACTTAATGATAGTATGAACACAGCTCTATTACATATACGTTTAACAGAGATTTTCATTACTAAAAAGAATTTACTGACTCAAATCATTATCTACTATACCTCAACTCCTTCTGAGAAAATAAAAAAAGCAGTGAAGATCAAAAACAGACCATTGACAAATCCAGCCAGAACTTCCGCTCTAACATACCTAAAGAAGAGCAAAGTAAATAATTATTAAGTTATTTCTCAAAAATCAAATCACAAATCTACATATATTCAGAGTGTAAACCACATTCTATAGTTTTAAGTGGACAGTCAACCAAGTCACAGTATTTATAGTATAGTACAGTTTATTTTACATTTATTGTAGAAATGAGTGAGAGAATATATTTTAAATATACGTTTAATACCAGAACGCCATAAAATACAGATTTCTAAAAGCCAGTGAAAAGACCTTCTAAAAATCAGCAGGTTTAGAAAGACCTTCCACAGAAATGTAAATCTCAAGTTGCCACTGGAAAACGAAGAAAAGGGCCAGACAAGTAGGCAGAGAAGGAAAGATCTAAGGATAAAAAGTAAAAGAAAGATGCTAAAAAAGGGGGTTTTATAATGTTTTAATTCCTCTTTTCTAAGAATGTCTAATACTTTCTGCTTTGTACCTTTCACCTGTCAAATCTTGGGAAAGCAGAGCTTTGATCTGAAGGAAAATAAAATTGTTTCTGTATCATCCCTGAGACAACTTGAGATTTATATTTTGATCACTTTTTTCTAAGATTAATAAATTTAGCAAAAACTTGTAAATTGCCCATTTTTAGAATCAATTCTAGCTTCATATAAGTCTAATCAAACTATTTTCAAAATACCTGTCTTTTTCTCCATGGACTTCTGAAGCTTTCTGTTTCCTACCTGTGTGAAGCATTGGGGAAAGATTTTATTTTTCAACAAGGTATATCTGGCTTAGTTAAAGTCATTAAAAACAACTTTAACTTGGCATTTTACCTGTTCAAGCATCATTCAAAGGGTGCTGACAGCAGTTATTCAATCTGGTCCTTATGCAATATAATGGAAGTGTCAAAATGCTATTTTCCCTTCTATATCAATATCTAGATGATATAATTTTTAAAGAGAAAAAGCTATCTAAAATGTATTCTATTCAATAATGTTAAGAGTTTGCTTTGTGAAGTACATTCCAACATAGCATATATTTTTAAAGTTCCTAAAAAAACTCCAACATCTTTTAATTCATTCTTCCATGAACTCTTCAAAAACCCTTTGTAACTTACCCTCAGAAATAATGCATATTTCTACCTTCTAACACAAATGAATTAGTATATTATTTGTCAAAGCAAATATATGCATTTCTCAAGAAAAAATTCATAAATTCAATCAAATAGTTTGCAGCCTGCTTTCTACAACCCAATAAAACAGGGTTACTGCTAAAAAAAGATTAAAGGAATTTTCTTTTCACTTACATTTCTAATCCATAGTCTATGCTTGACTGAAACTTTTTGTCTTTGTGTTCCACTATGTTTCAAGATCAAAGGCAAGATTTTTTTTTTTTCAGGTATCTGTGCCAAAATCCCAGCTTAGTAAACGCACCATAATTTCTGACAAGTTGTTGGACTAAAAGCTATTTAATTAGGTGTAATAAATTTGCTCCTTGTTTGCAGTTTTAAAATTACAACTGTTAAATCAGGCACACATGCATTTACAAATGAATAACAGAATTAGTTTTAGAGTTAGAACATGCAATTCACGAATATGGTGAGTGTGGTTTCCTAATTCAGTAGGGTTGGTGTTTGGATTCTTCAATCAGGGTAAAAAGACAGATATATGCTTCTATCTACCCGCTTACTTTTAAGTTGGCTTCACTATTTCAAAAATCATAGAGTAGTAAAACACAACAAAATATAAAAGACGTTATATAAAGAAATATTCAAAGGGTCTACTTCTGCCTCTCAGATTCCCCCTAATGTTTCCTCTATTACAGAGTCAGTCTGTTATTGTGACCATCTTGAATATGAAGTTTTTTGTTTTATCTCTAAGCTTAGCCTGGTCAGTTTCACTTTGCTGTGCTACTTACTACTATGTTGTTGTTGTTATATGCCGTGGAGTCAGTTCCGACTTATAGCGACCCTGTACAGGGTTTCTGAGGCTGTAAATCTTTATGGGAGCAGAAAGCCTCATCTTTCTCCCAAGGAACCACTGGTAGTTTCGAACTGCTGACCCTGAGGTTCACAGCCCGATACGTAACCACTACGCTACCAGAGCTCCTTACTTACTACTATAGCAATTACTAATAGTTTCAAGTTTTATCCCTTAAGTTGTCCCTACCCAAAAGGTTCTATAAAAAGCAAATAAAGAAAGAACAGCATAAGAAATAATCACAACAACAAAGCAGAGAACAGGATAAGAAAAATTTAAAAGGTAGCAAAAATATTCATATTAAGTTAAACTTGAATATTAAAACTTACTATGCTACTAAAGGTATTCTATGCTACTACTAAAAACTATCTTACAGCAGGAGACAAAGCATTCTAATGTAAAACACAGACAGCTCATAAGAAAATAGGAAGAATGTTTTAATAGTCACCTACTGTTTATCCAGAAAGACTGTTGAATAATATACTCCAATTAGATTTCTGATATACAATGTACATGAATTACTAATTTTCCAAAAAAGCAAAAATAAAACATTAGATATGATTTTTCTTTAAAGATTTAAAATATACTTCAGAATCTTTTAATAGCAGAGTTGTTATTGAGTCAATTCTGACAGCCTCATGTGAGCAGAGAATACTCCACAGGATTTTCAAATCTGTGATCTTTCAGAAGCAGATCATTAGGTCTTTGGAGCCACCTTTGGGTGGATTTGAACTGCCAGTCTTTTGGCTAATACTTCAGTGTTTAACCATTTTCCTACTGAGGGGCACTGTTAAGTAACACTGCTATGATACTTGGGTAAAACTGCCTCTAAGGCTTTCCTGACTGTAATCTTTATGGAGTCCTGATGTGGTGTTTTAGGATAATTGGACCGCAAGGATGGTTTGAACCTCAAGGTTGGCAGTGCAAACTCACCAGCCACTCCTCGGAAACCCTATTCAGGGTTGCTATGAGTTGGAACTGACTCGATGACACTTAACAACAACAATAATCTGCAAGAAAGCAGATCATTATCTTTCTCTTGCAGAATCACTAGGTGAGTTCAAACTATCAACCGAATCTTTCAATTAGCAGTCAAGTATGTAACAATTTGTGCCACCAGGGCTCCTTATTAACTAAAAACCAAAAGAAAATAATAAAGTCACATTGCCATCAAATTAATTCTGATTCATAGCAATCCACAGTATAGGACAGTACTATGCCACATGATTTTCAAGGCTGTAACTGCTACGAAAGCAGACTGCTACATCTTTTTCCCATGCAGCAGTTGGTGGGTTCAGACCACCTACCTTTCAGTTAGCACACTAACCCTTAACTACTACACTACCAGGGATCCCTTTAATAGTTATAGTTTGAGATTCTTTAAATATTAGCAATATGGCTATTATTGTTATTAAGTGCCATCGAGTCAGTTTCAACTTATTATTGTTGTTAAGTGCCATCAGTTTCAACTTAGAGCAAACCCATACAAATGGGTTTCTGAGGAGCTCAAACTGAGGTTCAAACTGACTTTTCAGTCTAGTGTGTTATCCCACAGTGCCACAGCAGGATTCTTTCTTCTAATATTACAAGCTATTTATATTTATATACAGGATTTCTTGCTTGATACTGGTTGTGGTGGTAGTTGTGGATCAGTGAGATGGTTCTGACTAACAGACCCTGCATAGGGTTCCAAAGGCTGTAAATCTTTACAGGAGCAGAAAGCCTCATCTTTTCCCAGCAGAGTGACTGGTTAGCAGACCAGCACATAATCCACTATAATCCTTTGGTCTATACTATTGAAAGATAATTTTACAAATAATCATATCCACTTGGTTTCAGATAAAATCAACAAGTTCTACCATAGAGCTTGACATGCAGGGGCTTCAAAAAGTTCATGGGAAACTGAAATTAAAAGATAATGGCCTAGCCTTGATGGCTTGATAATTATAATTTGACTGTTACTGTTAAGTACCGTAGAGTCGGTGCTGACTCATAGTGACCCTATACAGGGTTTCCGAGGCTGTAAATCTTTACGGGTGCAGAAAACCTCATCTTTCTCCCGCAAAACAGCTGGTAGTTTTGAACTGCTGACCTTGAGGTTAGCAGCCCGATTTGTAACCACTAAGCTACTAGAGGAAGATAAAAAAAAAAAAAAAAAAATTGATAAAGGAAACGAGTGCAAATTGTTACAACTTGATGAACTTGACCTTTACTCATGGATGTAGTAGCTCAAAATACCAACTGAGAGGAAAGGAGTCTTCACATCAAGTATAAATCTTATCCCCTCTGCATACAGGGTTGATACGGATGGGCAACTTAGACATTGGCTACCTAAAATGCGGGGGCAATAAAGGCATGAAGTGACTGGCTTACAAGTTTTCAAGAGGGAGTTAGTTAAAGAGTTTGAGGGGGAAGGTAAGAGTCCCCGCTGAATCGTTTTCGTCTTGTCTAGATGGGTCTGGTGAAAAAAGATGGGGATAAGATTCTTATGATTCAATAATGAGTAATTATTATGACTAACTGTGACAGCCACAACTGTAAAGGTAGAAATTTTGTTAACAAAAACAGGGGAGTAGTTAATCTTACAGTCCAGAAACAGACGACCCTAGGGCCATCAAGGGAGAAGAGCACAAGTGGAGTGTGGGACTCTATCCTGAGAAGCAGCGACATCAAAGATGGAGGAAGATATGAGGACAAGAAGAGAGGGAGCAGCTGAGGACTGTCAATTCATGGTAAGAGAGGGACTGGGTGCTAGTGGCCAGGAGGCAGGCTTGCAGAATGTGCTCTTTGGTTGTTTAAATGATTATATAGTCCTAAGTGTTTCTGTTTATATCCCCTCCCCCACCCCCCACCCCCCCCAAAAAAAACCAGAGGGAATGGAAGCAAATACTGTTGTATGATGATGCACGGAGGAGATTGTAATCATTGCAATGAAACGATGATGTAAAGCCAATGTTCTCCGATGTAAGCTATCACTCAGTTCACAATAAAAATGTAAAAAAAACCAAGATAGTGGACTTTTTCCACCAACGTTTTGAAGTTCCCTTGTATATCTTTTAGCTGTTGTCCCTGCATAGTTCTTACAGTATTTTATGGAACTCTTTCCCCATTAGATCAGAAGCTCCTTCAAGACAGGAGTATGTTATATTCATCTTTGTATAAGTAGATACAGGAGTCCTGCTGATGCTGTATGGTAAGCACTTGAGTGTTAATTTGAAAGTTGGCACTTCAGGTCCACCAAGTGGCTCTGTAGGAGAAAGATGAGACTTTCTGCTCCCATAAAGATTCATAGTCTTGAAAATCCTTTACAGGGTCGCTGTGAGTCAGAATTGACTCAGTGGTAATGGGCTTGGTTTTTGGCTTTGGTATTATTAGATACAGCAAAATATTTGACTCAGAGTGGAACCTCAATAAACATAAGGAGAGAGCAAGAACATGTGCAAGAAAGAGTGTGACTGTGAAAGAACAAAAAGCCAGCTGGAGAGAAAAGATGGTGTAATGAAGAAAGAGCAAAAGAGAGGATGATGGGTGCAATATACAGTGCACAGATTAGAGAGGGTGTCATAAGAAGGAGAGAACCACCAACAGTACACAGGACAGGGAGACGCTAGGAGAAAGAAAGAGAAATTGAGAAGTTAGAGGAAACAGAGATGGAGTTGGAACGGTGAAGAGGAAGAGTGAGAAAGCTTGGCAATGTGGTAAAGGACAGAGGGAGGGATCAAGAAAAAAGAAAGACTAAGTAAGAAAGGTAAAGGAGGAAGAAGGTAAGAGAGGATGGTAGAGAAAAGCAGGAAGGAGGACGGAGAGGAGAAAGGGACAGTGATAGGAATCAGAAACGTGGCTGCTGCTAAAGACGTGTACAGGGGCAAGAGAGAGTTTCAAGAGGTGCAAGTTACCATCAAGTTAACATGGGTTCAAATTATGAAAATTAATTGAGCTTAATTAATATTTACCTTTCTGTGTATCTTGCACTGTAATAAAAGTGTTTTTAAAAAGTCTTACCCATAAGAGAAAGCATCATTATCTCTCCATTTGGAAATAACAGAAGCTGCCAATCCAGCCAAAATAGCAGTGCTATCGAAAAACATGTGAAAAGAGTCGGAAATCAGGCCTAAACTGGAAAAGAACAAAAACATTGATATATATTATAATAATGAAAACCAAAGAGTAGGCATACCTTTCTAAAAATTTAGTAGTCAGTCTCTGCCCATCAGGTTGTTGTTGTTAAGTGCTGTTGAGTTGTTTCTGACTCATAGAAACTCTGTATAGGGTTTCCAAGAGCAACTGGTGAGTTTGAACTGCCAACCTTGCAGTTCAAACTAACCTTGTGATCTCGTGTTTACCCTACAGTGCCACACCAGACTATCAGGTACTTCCCTTCTAAAAAAGCCATTCTGAAACATGATGCTATTGTTAAGTGTTGTCGAGTCTGTATCGACTCATGGCAACCTTGCATAGGGCTTCCGAAGAATGGCTGGTGAGCTTGAACTGCCAACTTTGCAGTTTAAAGAGACCTTGCAGTTCAGCGCATTAACCCTCAGCACCACATCAGGATAGGTAAAGATTTTAAGGATAATTTTTAAACATCTAAAAAGAAAACTCTCATATATTGTGCCCAAGGAAAAACTTAGCTGTTGATGAAAGAAACCAAAATCTCTTTGTTACTGGGTGAAGGGTAGGACTCTGTCCTTCCTCTAATCTAAAGGTCAGATGTCACTGAGGGAGAAGTAGGAAAAATAGCATTCTGCTACTGGCAGTCAGTCAAAATCCACTCTAATCCATGATCTTGTACTGATATAAAACATTCTTGGGGGAGGAGCAGTAAACAAGTCCACCTCCCAAAAATTGGTACAAGGATACTGGGGGTAGTGTAAAAAGGGCAGGTGAAGGAATATTTAGAATACCCTACCTGACTCAAAGGAAAGCACGGCCTAAATAAGGCTGAGACTGTGGCAGGAGAACCCAGTACCCCCTTGCTTCAGGTCTGAGTGAGCACTGAATAAAGTACAGGCAATAACAACCTCCTATGTGTAGGGTCGCTATGAGTCGGAACCAACTCCACAGAACCTAACAACAACAACATTATAAGCAGAGCAGGAACAAACATAAAGAGAGACTCCTGTGTGGATCAGGCCTGCAAGGGTTGTTAACAGCTGAGAATAGAGCAAAGACACAGAGTAAAATCCTCCAGGACTCCAAATTTCACACTAAGCGCAGGCAATAGGAAATGTGAAGTTGGTGGCATGTTAAAAGTAACTTGCTGTTGTTGCTATGTGTAGTGCCAGCCATTGAGTCAGTACCGACTCATAGCAACTTTATGCACAGCAGAACGAAACACTGCCTGATCCTCGGCCAACCTCACTACTATTGCCACGCTTGAGTCCATCAGTGCTGCCACTTGGCCTATCCATCTGGTTGGGGGTCTTCCTCTTTTTCTCTGACCTTCCACCTTAACAAACATGATATCCTTCTCCAGTGACTGGTCTAATAAAATACAAAAATTCAGTTCAACTATTGGCCAGCTGTATTGCATAGCCACCAAATCTCTTGCCCTCAAATTTTGAGCACATACACTTCAGAGTGTCTCTCCCATGTCAGGTCTTTGACCCATAATTTTTCCCAGTCTGGTGCAGAATCTGCCAAAGTATAAGCCTTCTGGTCTGTTCCCATTTTGTTCTGTTGCATAAAGAGCAAATAGGAGTTGTCCATAAGTCAGACATTTATTATCCATGGACTGCACAAAGGACAGAAATGGGAAATGGAAGTGTATCGTTTTACAGGTGACACTGTTACTATTTATGACATATTATAATATTTACCTCATATTATAAACTCTAGAGCAATCACTGCATAGAATAAAAAGCCAGTAAGGGAGGGGCAAGGTTCCATTCTGTTGTACACAGGGTTGCTATGAGTTGTGTTGAAAGTGACTCGATGGCACCCAACAACAACAAAGGAGGGAGAAGAAATTCTACTCAGCTCATGTTGCACAACCACTGGTAAAGGAAACTTGCACTTATCCAAGCTCACCCAACTCTGGCCATAAATATTATTTACCCTCATATCTATTGTTCTTTATTCACAATGTGTGAAACTGATCAAAAATTTTAAGACACACAAAAATAGGCAAGAATATAACTTAATATCAAGAGACAGAGCAGTCAACAGAATCAGATCAAGAAATACCTAAATACTGAAACTAACATAACTATGATTAATATGCCAAAGATTCCATAGAAAAATGGATAAAACTCATGAACCAACAGGAATCTTTGGTCGATAAATTGGAAAATGCATTATTTGTTATTTAAGCACATCTGCATAAATGTGTTCCAGTACAACTATTTATAAAAAGAGGCAGCAGGTCAATTTGGTTCATGAACCATGAGCAGAATGGGCACAGTTGAGGAAAGAAATGAGTAAACTTAAAGATGTTGTTGCTGTTGTTGTCAAGTGCCACAGAGTCGTTTCCGACCCATAGCAACCCTGTACAGGGTTTCCAAGGAGCAGCTGGTGAGCTTGAACTGTCTATCATGCAGTTCAAGCAGCTTTGCAGTCTGGTGCATTAACCCACAGCGCCACACCAGGACTTAAAGATAGGTCAATGGAAATTATAGAAAACCGAAACAAACAAAATTTGAAATAATCATACAATTATAAATAAAAAAAACACATGAATTTATTCATATGAAAAAGCAGAAGTTATAAATATCTCCCACATCATTAAAAAGTATTTTGGAAACCATCTTAAATTTTATTATTAACTTGGTATGTTTCATACAAATACACATGCAACAGAAAATATAAGGCTTGAGAATGAATAAATTAATGACAAGGCCAAATGAAAAAATTAACATATGAGGACAAGGTAAAAGGCATGTTTTTCATGCAAACCTCTCACATTTGATATGTGAACCTTTTTCCTTGACTAGATCAGTAGAAATCTACACTGTTGGGCCTTATCAGCTAGGTAACAATGAAGAAATTGGTTTAACTGAGGGATGAAAGACCCATTTCAAGAATTTCTCTGCACATGTCACTAATAAAAACTTTGTCTATGATGTTCTTTTCTATTCTTTTATGAAGAATTATGGTAAAATTCCTTTGAAAATGTTGTTTCAATAAATCATGCATCTGTTCTAATGGTGGCATAGTGGCTAAACACTTGGCTGCTAATCTGAAGGTTGGCAGTTCAAACCCATCAGTTACTCTGCAGGAGAAGGATATAGAAGTCGGCTTCCACCTCATGTTGTTGTTAAGTGCTGTCGAGTTGATTCCAACCCATAGCGACCCTGTATAGGGTTTCTGGAGCAGCTGGTGAGCTTACAGTTCAAATGGCTTTGCAGTCTGGGGCATTAACCCACAGTGCTACACCAGGACTCAGACTTGAAAACTCTATGAGGCAGAGGTTCTAAGGTTATTTGATTTATATACCAAATGTAAATCATAATAAAGTAAATTTGTTGCTTAATGCAGCACACTTATTTTTAGGTTCTTTAAATACTGCCAGTTTTTCTAATAAACAATATTCTTTAAAAAAACAAATGAAAAATTCAAAAAACTAGCTTTTAAGGACATTTTAATAAGCCAAACTTCTTCTAATATAAAGGAGAAACCTGAACACCAAAGCAAAAGATAGCAAATATGAACAGTACATAATGCAAAACAAAACTTTTACAGAGAATTCTATGTGAAATCTATAGGAGGCAAAAATAAAGGGAGAAAGAATCAATAAATTAAGAAAAACTTGAGACATGCTATGTGTGGGCTTTGTTTGAATTCTAACCTGCAAAACAAACTGTAAAAGGTAATTTATAAGACAATGAGGGATAACTGTACAGTTACTAACCGAATATTGGAGATCAATAAATTATTAAAATTTGGTAGGTAAAAACAATGCGTTGGGCCACAAAAGATGAGGGGGGCTCTGATCTTTTAGACACTTTGTTGTTGTTAAGTGCCGTTGAGTTGGTTCCGACTCATAGTGACTCTGTATCAGCTAGTGAGTTTGAACTGCCGACCTTGTTGGTCACAGCGACCTTGCAGTTCAGTGCTTATCCTACAGCACCATACCAGGACTTCTTTAGAGACAAAGAATAAAGGATTTATAGGAGTAATTATAAGATCTTTGGTATTTGTGATAAAATAATCTAGAGGTGGGAAAGGGATAACAAATGGAAAGAAAATAGATCATGTGCTGATACATGGTTAAATGTTAAAGCTGTGTGATCGGATATAAGGACCTTTAAACTGTTTTTTTTAACTTTGAAATATGCTTAAAATTTTCCATACTAAAATTATGTCTTTTATTAATAATTTAACTTAGCTAGTAGTATGTTCATATTGGTAACTTAGGTAACAATATATTTATGTTGGTTCTTAAACATCAATTCAGAATTGAAGATAAGAGATCATCGTAATTCACAATCCCCTTACCAGTACATTTCTGTGAGTGCCACACTATCAATGTATCATCAAAAACTTAGAAAATTCTTTGGATCTCAACATTATTAAGCATGCTAAGCTAATGAGAGTTATACTGAAAACCCACAAATGTACTACATCTCACTATATTTACATGGTGTTGTTAAGTGCCATCCAGTTGGTTCTGTCCCATAGTGACCCTGTTTCCAAGGAGCGGCTGGTGAGCTTGAACCACTGACCTTGCGGTTCAAACCAACTTTGCAGTCCAGTGCATTAACCAAGCAAAGACATTACTATAAATTGATTAGGTAATGTTGTTACTGAAGAGGAAAAAAAGCTGACAAGACTATGACATAAAAAAATCTGAATTCAGTAGAAAACTATGTGACTGATGAAAGTGTTTTTTATTTATCAAGGAATTACTTTACAAACACCAGATATGGCATATTGTATACAAAATCAATGTCCAGATAGGGGCCAAACCAATGACTTACATTGCAAAAACATTTTCTTGAACCAATTTTAATTTTGCGAATACAAGGAAATTTACCCTTAGATGGTTGAGTTCCTTCTATGTCTAAAGGTGCACCAGTTTTGGTGGGAAAAAAAAAAAAATGGAATGAACTTTCTTTACTAGACAGTAAAGTATATATAAAAGATTAATAGTATAGAAATAAGCAAAGCAAATTATA